ATCTAACTTTTTTGCTACAGTAAAAAGCTCTCACATAAAATCACATCTCAACTCGAATTACAAACTCGAATCAACGAAGTGAATGGGCCAGTTAATTTGTTTGAAGGACGGTTAAACTCTAGAAGGGCAGTAATAATACCAAGAAGTTTTCATAAGTGTGGTCTCTTATCACTTTCTATGAATGATGTAGGTTCTTAGAGACCGAGTCAATCATTTTGCCACCTCAGATAAAGGAAAACGAAAATAAAATACAATTTGTTATTTTAATCTCTTCCATATAGATAAATTAGTTCCTTGTCTTACTATCTATCTATAGACATTAGGAAGATAGCAATATACCGTTTTTTGGTGGATGACCAACCCATACATGGCATCCAGGGACTACGTCTTTGACATGTTCATATGTGATGTTTACTGGATTCGTTTGAACCTATTACACTGAAACTAGTCGTGCTTTCAGCTGAATTAGAAGATGAAGCCCGGTTCCTTTCTACAATCTTTATAACGCTTGACCATTCAGCTGCATGTATGTTTACTTACTTTGTCTTATTTCACAGTGGGTCTGGTGCTGGAAATTCGTTAAAGGAAGCAGGTATATTCTGGAGTCTTTTGATGATACTTTCATTTTTGTTCCAAGCCGCTGATACAGTACTGAAGGTTAGAACTCAATGTTTAATTCAACATTTCACGTCATCAAATTGTACTGTGGTATGTGACCAGGAGCTTTCTGATTATTTACAGGAAGTAATTTTTCTTGATGCTGCTCGGAAACTAAAGGTACTAACTGTTTTATATTCCATCTAGCATGATAAGCAGAAACTGTTCCAATGGCAGAAATAAAATCTAATTTTCCACTCTTGTAATATCTGTTTGACTGTTTCTAAGAAATAAATCTGAATTGGATCTGTTGCAGGGAAACTCGGTAGATCTATTTGTTGTTAATTCCTTTGGATCTGCTTTCCAGGTCAGTACCACGTAGTCATCAATTTTAGTTTCATAAGTTTAGTTTTTATAATTGATTAAAATGTTTCATTTCGGCTTTGCATATCATGTTTTATTACTGAACTTGAATGATGGACTGGGGGCTTGCATCTCTGCGGATTGCAGGCACTTTTTATATGCCTACTCCTACCATTTCTATCAAAACTATGGGGGGTTCCTTTTTCCCAGCTGCCAAACTATCTGAAAGACGGTGCAGCTTGCTTCCTAAACATTGGTACATTATCCAGTGGTGAGATTTATTATCTTATAATTCTCTTCCCTTCGTTATCTCTTTTAATGATAAAATAGGAGTACTAGGGCCTAGTATACCATTTCATCAATATCTAAGAGCTTATCAATTTCATTTAACCTACTGTTAGTAAACTGTAAATATCTCGGCTTAGTAGTTATTAGGGAGACAAAAAAGTGAGATCTAAAGGCACGAAGTGGCACATTGAAGAAAAGAAAGTGTTGAAACGATAAATTTAGCTAACTATTTAAGATGGTGCGGTGCTCTAAACAAATTTGAATATTTATTGGCAGCTCACTCATAGTTCCTTAGTTCTATAACAGTAACTTAGAAGCCAAGTGAATAGAAGAGAAAAGTGCAACGGTGTCAGTTGGCACGACTCGCTATTAGAGCATACTATTATGTTTGTATTAAGAGTGTATAATGACACAAGTAACCAACTTAATTACATTGATCGTGTGGCCACAGGATGTGATGGAGCCCCGTTATTGCCCTTGTTGTTTGTTATTGTCAACATGGGTTTCAACATATCATTACTGCATCTTCTCAAAATCTCTTCTGGTGTGGTTTCTTGTCTCGCATCGACATTCTCAGGTACTTGATTTATTTGAACTTAAATAATGATAATAATAATAATAATGATGATCTAGAAGTCAGCAAGTGTATAAACGTAACTTGTTATTGGGTACATAAAATTGGGGACATCCAAACTACCGGTTGGTTGGTTACTTTGGAGGTCAATTCCACCATGCTGAATGCCAAGTGTCAAATGGTTAGAATATGTTTTGCGTAAAAATTTTCTTCTGAGTCTGGGTCAAAATGATTCGAACTAGGATTTTGCATTCAAGGAAAGGTTAGAAGCCTCTACCAGAGTCGATAATCCATGGGCTTAAAATGTCCATCAAAGCTAAGCAGCTAAAGATATGTAATAAACTTCTTCATATTAGTTTGTTAATAACATGACATTTAGTAAAATCAATCACATCTCTCGTAGTTAGCTTCATGCTCAATCGTTTGATAGAGTTACTGCATTGGTATTTAAGTTGGGAGGATTCCATGTGAAGACTATGCCATTTTATCAAGTTATTGCTTCTTGTATACAAGCGTCTTTTTAATGAAACATACAAATAAGATAATTGACGTTTAAATATATTTGTATTTCTTGGTTTTACATGGCAGTTCCAATATCTGTGTATCTCTTCACGCTGCCGTTGCCATACCTTGGCGTTGCGTCGTCTCTGCCAAGAGGTTTTGTGGCTGGAACCATTGTTCTAGTTATGGGTCTGCTTATTTATGCTTGGACGTCATCAGAGGGTTCCTCTGATACCTCACCATCGGAATCTAACTTATGGTCGTAACTATCAAATCCTCAAAGGTAAAACAGAGCCTTGTTTTTGGAAATGGCAAATAAGATTGGTAAGATTACTGTTGTAACTTGTAATTACGTTGCAACTGTTGCTCAAGTAAAACAGCTAAAGTGTGTTCATTATTATTCTTACTGCGCAAGCAATCAACATTAGATCAACAAATTTGGTGTAGATTCTCTCTTGAAAAGGAATAACAAGAGAGATGAATTAGGTCAATAAAGCTGATGTTGATTCTCTCTTGAAAAGGAATAACGAGAGAGATGAGATTTTTTTTCCTTTTCTTTTTTCAAGATGATGAGGGGCATCTCACCCCTGATTTTACTTGTAAGTTCTGCTCCAAGTAAAAATGCTTTGTTTTCGTGCATATTCACGTCAAAACAAAAATATGTAGATCTGCTGATGACAATCTAACTTCACAGAACTGCGTCATATATGTATAAATATACTCACACACAATAGTTGGAAGCAACGCGCTCGCATACTCAGTTTATTAATTTTTTTGAATAAAAAATGTTTGGGTAGGGTCATATTTTAGAAGAAATTATTTCAAAAAGGAAATAATTAAATAAAGTTACGAGGACCACATTTGAGAAAAAAATATTTCCTAGAAAAATTTAACCGTGTCACACATTTGAAAAAGTTATTTAACGGAAATGAAATGAAGTGAATAAAGTATAGATAAAACTATGAAAACCAAATTCCATAATAACAAATTGTTGGAAGAAAACAAAAGGAAAAGAAAGGGTCACATCAAGTCACAACTCAAGTTTTATTGCTACAGTGTTTTCTTATAAAAATTCAAATTTAAATTTTTTACCGGTGTTTTTTTTTTCACATACACTCCTTAAGTTCTTGACTTGATTTGTGACAGGTATTTGGATTTTTCTCATTCTTGTGCTACACACTTCATTCATTTTCACTTTATCCATCAAAGTTTCTAAAACTCGCTCTATTATTTAAACTTTGAATGAGTCCACTTAACCCTATATATTAGATTTTTTATGGAGGAAGCATGTAACCACACATTATTTATTGTTGGAAGGTAAAATTGAGTTTTTGAAGTCTACGAGGAATTATGTTTCGGGCGCAAGAAATAGAAAGTTTAGGGCTTCAAATTCGCAGCATCAAGCTCCGAACTCGTGGACTCTCCTTCGAAACCTAGGGCTTATACTTAAAATCCACTCCACTATTTTAATAAGTCCTATTTAACCCTCTATGTTAGATTTTTTTTCCCTTTTTTTTAATGGAGAAGTTGTGTTTATGGCGCAAGTAATGGAGATTGTACAGCTTCAAATTCGTAGCATCAAGCTCCAAACTTGCGGAGTCTCCATCCGGAACCTAGGGCTTATACTTCGATTAATTAAGGTTTTCTTGCTTGGAAAAGTTTGAAATCTAGCCTGACCCTATCCATATACCGGAGCGGTTGCTGATATCATTTATAACCTTCCAAGTTTCAACATCGTTATGCATGAAAAGACAAGTAAAGTGATCATACGAAAATGATTGATATAATTTAATAAGGGGCCAAGTTTCATTTTATACTTTTGGATAGGTTAAACTTTGGTGAGTTCTTTATTGATATAATTATGTATATTTGCCTAGCAGATTAACAGTAAGCAATGGCTCAAGTACTGTTTGGGAAGTACTTGACTGAGAATGATGAAAGGAGAAAGTTTTTGGTCCCGGCGGAGTGGCTAAGTATACTACCCGACTTCGGGGAAGGACATGAGGTGCTGGTTAGGGCTATGGATGGGAAAGGATTCTATTGGGAGTTCTGTTGTGTCATTCGTAGGACCCTATAAGAAGCCTGTTTCTCAGTCTCTAGGATGGCTCGAATTAAGGGTGGCAATTCGTGTTAGTGGGTCGTGTTCGTGTCAACCCGCTTATTAATCGTGTCAAAAAATATCAATCCAAACACGACATGTTTATTAAACGTGTCAAAAATGTCAACCTAAACACTACCCATCTATTAATTTTATTAATCGTGAAAACTCGTATAACCCGTTTAAATTACTATATTGAATAAATAACTAATATAATAATGACTTATTTAACACGGCCAATACAGGTTTAACATGTTTATTGATCAATTTATCTTTTCTTTTAAGAAAAATAAATGAATTTTACCTACAAATATTAAAATTCACATTATTTGTATTTAATATGTCATATAAACTTTCATGTTATACCACATATTATTAGATTGCAAATGACACATATAATTAATAGTGTCAATTCGTGTCACTTCATCTTAGGAGGTCAACCCTAACTAAACTCATTTATTAATCATGTTAATCGTGTTAACCCAATTATGACCCAAACTCATTTATAATAAACTCAAACCCGCTAATGTCGTGCGGGTTTCGAGTCATATATTCGTGTCGCTACCCCCTAGCTCAAATTTGTTAGCAAAAAAGGGTCTCAAAGTTGGAGACAATATCATTCTTTATAAGGAAGAAAATCTTTTCAGGGGAACAAAGTATAGAACACAAAAGTGCAATGGAGAAGGTATGTGGGTTGATGTCTAGCTTCAAACTAGCAGAGAAAAATATGGGTCATTTTTGTAGGGAAAAAAAAAAAAAAAAATGGTTTAAGATATGGGTTTTTTTGGAGCAAGGGAATTGTGTGCTTTTCTGATTATCTAATTAGCTTTAAATGCAGATTTCTTTTTCATTTTTTGTCAAGTTTTGTCCCAATATTTTCCTAGAATAAAAGAAATTATATATCTCTCTCTTCCATATCCCAGATTGTTCTTCGTTTGTTTATGTACTTATTAATTAAGTTTTGTGAGAAGCTCTGTTCATGTTCTTATTATTTCTATTGGTTAACAAGGATTTTGGGGTTTTTAGATATAATTTATTGGTTAATTAACAAAATGTATATACATACATATATATATATATATATATATATGTGCGCACGCGCGTGTATAGGCATGAATATGGTATGAAATTTTTATATTTTATTATTTTAAAAAAGTTGTATTTTTATGTCTCTATAAAAAATGTGCGTTTTATAATGTCTCTTAAAAAAAACTTTATGTTATGTTTATTTATATAGTATATTTTCAGTTTCATTGGAATCTTGGAGTTCCTTAACCTAGATTTGCACATGAAAGAAGATAATCAAAGTCCCATTAAAAAAAAAAGATAATATTAAACACAAACCAAACTTCTCTACAAATAGGGTGCTGGTTTATTTGTTGTTTAGCACATCACAGGCCAATTAACCGAATTAGTTTTTCTGAAAAAGACAACCGAATTATTTATTCTCAGTTTCTCAACCCTGCAAAGTGCAAAATAAATTAAAATAATGATAACTACAACTATCTTTAAAGGCAACTACCTTAAAAAAAAAAAAAGATTCAGAAAAAAAAATAACTACCTTCAAAGAAAGATTATTAAAACACCAATCCCATTTTGTGTTTTTCTTTTTTTAAATTGACCAATAAGTAGTATCGTTAGTTACACTAATTCTATTACAAACTTTTTTATATAGACATATAAAGTGTTATCTTTTAACAAAAAGATGTAATTTCTTATAATTAATTGATATGATAATCTTTTAAATGACCACTAATAAAAAAAATTTCACTCATATGCCACATTAATTGATGTAAATTTGGATTAAAGTTGATATTCCTAGTATTGCTATTGACTACTTTCATTTTAGACAAGTTTTCGACATCTCGAGTAGTGCTGGAACTTCGGGTCGGCGGGCCGCCCGAAGCCTGAATTTTTTCAGGCTCGGGCGGGCCGGCCCAATTCCCGCCCGTCCATGCAAGAAATTCGGGTTCGGGCTCAGGCAGCCCGGATTTGACATGTCCACCCTTGCCCGCCGCCGTCTAACCACCGTATACCGCCGTCCGCCGGGATTTTTTTGCATTTTTCCGACCAAGCCCGAACTGCCCGACCCGAAAATTGCCCGAAAATTGGGTGTGCCCGAATTGCCCGACCCGAAGCCCGAATTTTTGAATTTTGCCCGAATTTTTCCCGCCTGCCCGAATTACCCGAATACCCAAAAACGGCTAGTTTTTTGAATTTTTACCCGAATTCGGCCCGAAAACCCGAGTTGCCCGAATTGCCCGAAAACGGCTAGTTTTTTTAATTTTGCCCGAAAACCCGAGCTGCCCGAGTTTGCCCGACTGCCCCTTTCAAGTTCTCTCAATCTCTCTCAATCTCTCTCACAACTTTTCTAAAGCTCTCTCTCTAGTGTCTATCAAATTCATCTTATTTTTTTTATAATGGATCCTTTTGGTTATAGTGGTATTCCCGTTGATACCCAACATAATGTAGAAGAAGGGCAATTTCTCACTAATGAGTTTGTTATGCAGCAAATGCAATCTACTAATCCAAGCCATGGTGGACGTACTGGAGGTCGTGGTCGCAATAGTGGGCGTGGAGAAGCGGCAGCGAGTGCGACTGCGTCTGCGTCTGCGTCGGCAAGTGTTGCAACCTCCAGGAGAAAATGCAAGCGTACCTCGACAGTTTGGGATCACTTCGACATAATTGACGAGGTGGATAATGAAGGTAACACTAAACATATAGCTCAGTGTAAATATTGTTTATCTAAATTACAAGGCGACACTATTCACGGCACCACACACTTGAGACGACACTCTGAAAAGTGTCTTCAAAAGCTTAGCCAATCTAGCGGACCCGAACTCCGCCAAACACAATTATCTTTTGATCGCGCAACCGGTGGTCTAACCACTTGAAAATACGATCCGCAAGAAGATCGTATGGAAGTTGCGCGAATGATAGCTGCTTTAGATCAACCACTTAGTTTTGTAGAGCATCCTAATTGGCAACGATATATTAAGGTTGTACACAATCCTAATGCACAGTTCACTTCAAAAACTACTCTTAGAAAAGATTTATTAAAATTATTTAAAAAAGAAAAAGATGCATTAATAAACCTTTTACACTCGACTAGCGGGTGCGTTGCGTTAACGGCAGATATTTGGTCTGCCATTGCCAATAAAGATTATTTAGCTGTAACCGGACATTACTTTAAAGGATTTGATTTAGATAAGAGAATATTAGGTTTTAAATGTGTTCTAGGATCACATAGCGCAGATTTAATATATAACACAATTTTAAATGTAATTGATGAATTTAGTTTAAGAGATAAAGTAATGGCTATAACATTAGATAATGCTAGTGCCAATACAAAAGCAATTGAATTCTTTGAAAATGATTTAAGTCTATTCGGTGACGGTACTATTTTCCACCAACGTTATGCATGTCATGTAATCAATTTAATAGTTAAATCCGATTTAAAAGAAATGAGTAATCACATTAAAAGAATTAGAGATAGTCTTGCATGGATTCAAGGTAGTAACCA